ATAAGTTCTACCTATGCCTTTTAAATAAAGGCGAGGCAACATGAGAAAGATATTGACAACAAAAAGAGCCTGCGACTACATACTGGCATGCCCAAAAGGAGTTAGATATGATCACCATCTACCGTATTCCTGGGAGGAGACCCCAGGTTCGTGGGGTGATTCGGGAACAAGAGACTGGGGTAAACCAACCAGGCACGTCTGTCTGTCACTTGTTGCGACCGAACATGCGGCCTTTGAACCAATCATTCGGCCTTTTTCCCGACGTCCAGGAGAATGGGACTGTCACCCTTCTGGGGATGCGGGATGAGTGCGCGTGTGAGCTTGGCGCCAACTTCTGTGATGAGGGTAACGGCATCCGGGCTAATCAGGGACTAGGTCCGGTACGATATTAGCGCTTCTTTCGAGAGAAGCCGGCACTGAAGTCGATAGCCCCGATCGATCGGAGAATGAGAAAAATGATTGGCTTTTGCCCCGAGACTTGTGAAATTCTATCCGCTACATACAGAGAGGCCTTACCAAACCGTGCAGAGCATAATGTGGCTTCCTGCGTGACCCCCGAAGGCGCCACTAGATCAGAATATCATCCATATTTTTCACACTGTGAGCCAAGTACGTACGAGACTCATTCAACGTAGCTTTGTTTCGGCGTAGAATGTTTCTCTTTCCTGCTATTTTGTATCATCTAGACACTCTTTCCCATTCGTGCATACGGATTTCCCTGAGGACGGGGAACGTCTCATTATCAAGACTACAAAGCTACTAATGTTAACTAAATCAGGTAGTCGAACTCATGAAGTTGTAAGCTATAGGCATCAGAGGTATCAGTCTGAAATGAAGTATACCTCCCTTGTTGTGTAAGTACTTGAGTTCGAGCCGAAAAGCTGTCAATATCGTAGTCCATGCCTGATCTCACATGTTGAATGTCCTTTTCCTCCAAAGGCAGTGAGTATTCTGTCAGAAAGCGCACCATCCAGTCATCAAAATCATGCGTTCTGGAGTCACCAGACAGCAGGCAGAAGTTTTGAAAAGTAGCAAGGCGTTCGATCTGTCGTGAAATCAGCCTTCTTGCCCACAGCGGTCAGCTACGTGGACGGAAACAAACCATTGGCGCCGTGTTTGGCCAGTACTGTCGCAATTCGACAATGGCTGCAAAGTTCGCATTCAAGGCATCTCGCGCGCTCTTTAGATCTGCTTCCTCGCCGAACAAGAGCGTATGGAGGAGCACCGATGACGATACTACCGCCATGTGCCCGACAGTAGGATAGACGACTTCACATCCCTGCTTACCACGGGCGAGCTTGACAAGATTGCTGTAAGCCGAGGCGTGGGACTTGCATCTACTATGATACATGCTAGCCGCGGAGGATCTTGGCTCTTGAGAGCTGAGGAACCTGAAGTAGAGCAGGACGGAATAGTGATGATACCCAAGATGAAGGGCGACATATGGCCCTCCAGTTCCTCTGTTGATATGCCAGTCTAGCATTTCCTCTTTCCATTTGATGTTGTTGGGCAGGGACTTTTCCCAAGTTTCTAGCTGCTGAGACAAAGAGTTAATGCTGCTCTCGATATCCTCTGCAGTCATGCTTCTGTTGACACTATGACGATTGAGTTGCTGTATTGGGCCAAACAGCTGTACCAGAGAGATCTTGAAAGCCCATATTCCTGGCTGCCATGGCTTCTCTAGTTGTGTTGATGTAGGGTCTAGAGACTGAAATATGGCTTCATCCATGGGCAGATCAACGGCGAGCTCTGTATCTCGAATCTGTGGCAACAAGCGGAGGCTTGAAGACGACCATCGATCTGCCATGAAGAGTGACCACCATATTCTCCTGTGAATCTCGAGATCAACCAGTCGTGTCCCTACAGTCGAGGTGCCAAGCTGCATGATGTGAGAGAGACTGATACCGGTCCCTGTCTATGGTGAGCAAATAGACTCAGAAGAAAACGAGATGCTTCCAATACATTCGTACAATCCCAATAACGATCACTTACTGAAGAACAAAGCTTCTGAAGAAGGGTTCAGGTGAGCTGCGCACAGATTCGCGATGAGGATACACGCCTGAATGTTTTCGACGCAGACGTTTTCCAAATTGGCCAGCAACATTCGCTTGGATTCCTCCATCAATCCGGCCTCCAGGGCCCGTGTCTCCTCGTCGAGAGCGAACCTCGAACCCATGCTGCAAATGGCCAACAGGAGGATCCTGCTAATAGACCCATCTTGAACCTCCTGCCGAAGTTTTGCGGGGTGGAACAAACTGTGCGGCCGATTGTGTAGCTTGTCTAGATAATAGTCGACGAGAAGTACAGCCGTGTGAAGCGGCAAGCTTATGCCTTCGGTCTTTGTTGAAGTAGGCGTGGAGGTATTTGACAACGAAGGTGCCGGTTCAGGCCTTGGAAGTAACGGCAGCGGCGATGGAGGAACGCGTGAGAGAGAGCTTGCACACGGTAAACTTCTAGCTCGACAAGTATCGCATGGCTCACCTACCGCGAGACTACGGCGGAGGCATTTTCGTTTGCTCTCTCGACACTGTCGACATGCTTTGGGGGGCTTCATCCGATTGTGGATTCAGATGAACGTACGTACGAGCGTATGAATCCCATTCACACTCTCCATAGTCAAAGTCATTGATGGGAACAGGAACACGCCCTCTATTTAGTTTCTCGGGAATGAACAGCTTTCACTGGGTGTTGACCCGAAAACCCCACAAACCAACATGTGGAGGACGCTGCTGTGCATGAGTCGACGCCACTGAGGGGAAGCAAGACAGGCATGCTGGCGGGACTCTTTACTCGTCAATCGACGCTTCGCTGTCCGGTGTGCCGGCGTTACCCCCTCATTCTTCGCGTGTTTCGCAGATCCTTGGGAGCTAAGAGCGAATGATCGGGATATAAGCCAATCATCTTTCACAGATTCCGACGTGTGTTGAACACCGCAGATCCATCCTTCTTCTCTTGAGTTGCTCTGCTAGCACTCTTGATCCTGAAATAACAACCAGTAACACTTTTGTTCTTTTCACTATATTTTCTCTTTTCTCGTCTGATTTCTCTTCTACATTTCTTGTCTCTAATCACAGTCGAAGTACTCATCGAAGAAGACCGAACCGAGACCCCGATACGATGACGTTTCTCGATGCAACTCCCCAAGCCGCCACGAAGATGGCTGACGTTAGTGTGAATATTCCACATCTCGTCCAAACAGATGGATCGAAACAACTTGTGGTGAAGGGCAAGCCTTTTCTCATGAGAGCTGGGGAACTTCAGAATTCTTCACTATCGTCCCCCGAATACATGGAAACTGTATGGGAGAAAATGGCCAATACCAACATCAACACCTTACTCGGCAGTGTGTCCTGGGAGATGATTGAGCCTGAAGAAGACAAATTCGACTTTTCGGTGCTCGACGAAATCATTAGCGACGCACGGAAACATTCCATGCACTTGGTTTTGCTATGGTTTGGGTCATTCAAGAATGGTATGCAGTCTTGTTTCTCGCCTGCCTTCGGGTGACAGATGGGAAAGATAACTAAGACTCAGAAATACAGGACTGTCTTCATATACACCGGCTTGGGTGAAAACAGATGACAAGAGGTTCCCGCGCGTCAAGCTTCGCAAGGCCGGAGGCCGTCTCGAGACCGGCGACGTTTTGTCAATCTTCAGCGCCGAGAACCGCGAAGCAGATGCCAAGGCCTTTGGCCGACTAATGGAGCACTTGAGACAGGTGGACGAATCACACTCTACTGTTCTGATGGTACAAGTCGAGAACGAGTGCGGTGTTCTGGGAGATTCTCGGGACGGTTCAGAGCTCGCAAATGAAGCCTTCCATGAACCAGTCCCAAAGGACCTTGTCCACTTCCTATCTGCAGAGTGGGATCAGCTACACCAAGATTTGCGAGAACAGAACCTCACGCAGTTTGATCGTCAGACTTCACACCTTGACGGAAGCGGAGATTGGGAATCTGTGTTTGGAAGCAGTCCCCGGACCGATGAGTTATGCATGGCATACAACTACGCTCTCTATCTGAATCAAGTTGCCGCGGCCGGAAAAGCGGCGTATCCTATCCCTCTCTATACCAACGTATGGATGAACTACGTCGGCGAAGACTCTGACAACGAATTTCCCGTGGTGGTAGGCGGCGGCGGCATGCCGGGAGACTATCCCTCTGGAGGACCCGTGAGCAACGTCTTGGACGTATGGATGCGCTTCGCGCCGAAGCTGGACTTTGTCGGGCCCGATGTCTATCTCAACGACTACGCCAGCTCTTGCGCCAAGTACAGGCACCGTAATCAACCTCTCTTCATCCCGGAGCAACGACGAGACGACTACGGAGCACGCCGCATCTGGATTGCGTACGGAACCTACGGTGCTATGGGGGTTGCCCCCTTTGGTGTGGATACTATCGAGCCAGAGGACAGTCCCTTCACCAAGCACTATGGTCTGCTGAAATCTGTTTCGCCTATCGTCCTTGAAGCACAACGACACCCAAACACGTCAGTGGGCTTCTGCTTCGACGAATTGCCGGCGGATGGCACCGGGAAGGACCCAAGCCCTGTCATCCGTCGTACCTGGGGAGAGTTTGAGATCACCATAGAACGGTGCTTTGTGTTCGGCAAGCCCGGAACAGGGGCTGGAATGGTGATACATCGAGGTGGAGGCAAATTCTTGCTCATCGGCTGGGGTTTCCAGGTCAAGGCAAAGGCATTGGGCCAGGACCGGAGCTTTACCGGCATACTCAAGTTTGAGGAGAAGACTGTAGAGGACGAAGGGGCCGGCCGCTTGAAAACCAGCAGAGTTTTGAACGGAGATGAAACGAGGAGCGGCAAGTTCGCGATGATGCCTAACGAGGACCCAGATTACGGCGGCTTTCCGATCTCCGTTACGATCCCAGCCAGGACGATGATTGCAGAGGTTACGTTCTACTCTTTGTCTTAACTAGATTGGGATGATCCTATGGTACTGGGCCAAAGCCTACAGAGACGAGACCACAGCAAAATTCTGAAGGCTAGCATTTACCGCGCAAGACCGATCCAACTCTGACGTACTTTGATATCACCATCGAACTGAAAGCTGCGAGCATGAACCCCCCCGCAAAAATCCAAGTACCCTGAAACTCCCTCTGCACATCTGTCGCTGTGTTCCCTTGCGGACGCTGCGCGGCACCTCCAATAGGGTTCCCGATCAACGCGCCAAAGCTGGCGATGGTGTATCCCATGCCCATTCTCGTCCCATACTCTGACAAATCATCCGTCAAATTTGCAATAGTAGCCGGAGGTAAAGATACCATGCCGCCCGAGACGAAGCCGTACACGATTGATATTACGACCAAACCCGGCAGGTCGGTCGCAAAGCGGAAGAGAAAGAGAACGGTGGCCGAGCAAAGACAGCAAGGGAGCATAACGGTCATACCGCCGTACTTGTCAGCAAGCCAGTTGGGGGCTAGACGGCCGAGGAGACTTGCAGCGTTCATGGCGCTGAGGATGTAAAAGGAAGTGTCTTGATCGACGCCCAGACGAATGGCATAGGCATCTACGTAGAAGAAGGGGATGTAAACCGAGCCAATCATCAGGGCGAAGGCTGATTGTGTGTTAATTACCGTAGTGAGTCGAAGACCTTTTGGAAACGAGACTGACCGATGCAAAATGAGACATAGGGAACATCGCGAAAGTGCTTCAGGCGAAAGAGAGCACCACGCCGCTTGAGATTGGGCCGAAGATGCATGATTGCAATGCAAATCAGGAGGCTTCCGGTAACGATGAATGCGAACACCCGAACAGCCCAAGGAAAGCCAATGGATGCAATCAGGCGTCTCTCCATGATGGGATACACAATTCCCGCTTGACAATACATCAGTACCCGTGCTTGTGTACATCGTCATCTCGGCGTCTTTTCGGAGCTCACCTAGACTGCTTCCCGTAGCAGCAATGCCAGTCGCTATCATCCTCCTCGTGCGGAAGTAGAGAGGAATCACGGCCACACAAGTCAACCCCAGCAACCCACTGCCCATTCCGACACAGAGCGCCTGCGCGAGGAGAATCTGCCAATACTTTGTGCACAAGCTCAGCATAAATAGCCCGAGAGACGTCATGGTAGTGCCGCAAATGAGGATGAAGCGAAGATACCCCGCGTCGAGAAGCCAACCCGCGCAGACACCGATGAGCATCATAAGAAAGATCTGGATGGAGCCGATCCAAGAAATAGCCGAAGGGTTGACGTCTGGTAAGAGGACGTTGGAGTAGTAGGCTTGGAAGACTCCGAATGAGTTTGTCAAACCCCTTGAATAACGTCAACTTGAGTACTGCGGTTTTTGTCTGGACCGGCATCAGCTGCTACGGGGTCATCGTACCAGGTATTGGCAAACAAAATCCAGCTTCCAAGAACTTGAAGCCATGCGACAAGTCCTTGGTCCATAACTAGCTCTTCCTCGTCGACTCGTGCTGTCTCGTCGTCGCTTGTCGGCGACGACAGAAATTGAGTTTTCTCTTCATCATACGCCATCACGATCTGTGAGACTTTTTCGGAAGGCGTACTTTGAGTTGCAGTCCTCAACATCTCGGATCGCCAGAGGGAATGGTAAAATTGGTATGGGCAGATTGTTCCATAAGATCTGCCAAAGATCGAATTCGAGAGAGCGCTGGGCCGCTCTTAAAGCTAATTGAGCAGTCCGAGCCGTCCAGGTTGGCATTCTCAAGCCGAACATCTTTGTCGCATCCCGTCAGACAAGCGTCGGCTTGCGAAGTCGCTAAACGAGAGTACCACATGGTGGGTCAAGCGGGAAACGGTCAAAAGTAGGTAGTTGTCCATGTTGCGTGAGCTTCTCTGTGACCTTGAGCATCAGGCCAATCAACAACGCCGGGATCTCGAATCCAGTTGGAGGACACTCAAGGCCCCCCTCGAAGCGACCATGCCCTGGATGGTTTGTGGGTTGAGCCGAAGACGACGGAAACAGGGTATGAGATTCCTTGACTCCAACGGCTTCTCACCACGGGGCGAGACATCCTAGTCATTGGAAGCGAGTACACCATATGCTTGTTCTTCCTGATCGAGTAACACAAAATCGTTTGGGGGGTCTTGAGCACTCGCATGTTTTATGCTTGTTCGTTGAGGGGGCCTTCGGCTTGACTTGACCTACATCGGCTTCGGCTTCGGCTTCACTGCAGCTTAGAGAAGACAGGCGAATGATGGTGGCGGTATGACAGTGTACTCTAAATTGCATCCAAGGAAGCACCTCAGACCCCTAGTGGTGGGTGTGGAGATAAGGTTGTGGCTTGCTACTTGATTTCAAGCATCATCGTTGATGGGATTGTTCAGAACTTCAGCGGTGCAAAAAGCAAAAGATATAGAACCCGAAGAGTGGCTTAGCCAATCGCGGTGAGGATTTGAGCCTCACGCGGGGGTCGAACCCGCAACCTTGAGATTAAGAGTCTCACGCTCTACCGATTGAGCTAGCAAGGCGGGTCTTGTTTGATGACCTTTTCGGCCGGTTTGGAGCTCTAGTCCCCTTGAGCGCGGTCAGTACCTCTCTTCTTCCTCTCTTCTCTTGCGCAGCTGATCTTGATCCTTCTCTTTCTTTTCTGATCCTTTCCTCTCCTCTTGCTGGCGGCGAAAAACTTCATCACTTGGGTATTTGAGTCGCCAGTGTCCTGCGCTTCTTATTCCTTGAGGATGTCTTCAATCACCTCGCGCAGAGTCTCGCTCCCCCTCTGAAGCAAATGTCCCTCCCGCATATTCCCGGCTACAATCCCTCCGGGCAAGAGACTCCTTGTCATCTCTACGAAGAGTTCAGCCGTCGGTGGCCGATATGATTGAGCAAAAAAGTCCTCCAGCTGCTCATCTTCCACCAGAGTGACCTTGACCTTGTTGTACTTGAATGTTAGATCTTCAACCGCTCTATGCACGTCCTTTGTTGAATATGATTCTGGCCCGTATAAGTTGAAGATATAGGGATTGTGTCGCATCGGCGAGCTTATTGCGAGAGCTTCCCTGGCGCATGTCCGACCAACGTCTTTCACCGAGACCTTGGTTGTAAATCTTAGGAAAGTGTCTTTCTCATTTAGGGCGAACTGCCTGGTAAAACTCACCATGGGTATTGCGTAGTCAATAGGACACAGCACAGAAGAAAAATGCGGCGTATCATCACTTGCTGTCTTAAGTACTGACGCCCAATTTTCCATGAAGTAGGCGCATCGAACAAAGACCACCTCGGGTGCGGCACCGATGAGTGCTTGCTCTGCCTCGTAGTTCGTTCTTATCTCGCCCTACGACATCTACTTCAGCCATCTGCCTTCTGCGAATATCCTCTCTTTCGACTTACCGTCCCATGCTCCAAATGAGCCCCTATCCTAGACACATATACCAGACGCTTTACCGAACACCCGACCCTACTGATAGCAAACTTGACATTTGCTGCCATCTCCCGTGCTCTAGTTATCGGCTTGGACTCGGAGTACTGCGGAGGCGTGATGGATACGATGGCGTCAGCCCCGGCGAATCTGAGACTCGAAACATCGGCAACGTCGCCCTTGATAGCCTTAAATCGAGGATGGTCCTTAAATTTAGCCGGTACCCTTCCCAGGTCTCGATATACACCCGTTACGTGTGGCTGCGAAGGGTGGTCAAGGAGAGACCGAATGGTCGCCTGCCCAGTCTTGGGAGATGCCGGAACGATAAAGACGTTCATGATTGCTGTTGATGGGGAGAGAGAGAGTTGTATCACACCAAGAACGAGTTTACATCGGCCAAAACTGACTATCTCCGGACTTATAGCTCCGGGGAGTCCGGGGGAGCTCCTAATTCCTATATAAAGGCTCGCTGATGTGTGACATCACACCACAACGGTCTAGACTCGGGTCCATCGGTTGCCTGCATCTCCTGCATCTCCTGCATCCCGCCATCACGGTTCTCCCGATGCGTCAGTGGCTGCAATGTTTCACGGCCGAAAGCTTCCAGAGAACCCCCCATACGTTTGTCATGTCAGCTGGGCCTAGAACATGGAGTTTTCGGCCCTTCCAGACCACCCCGCCCTCGCAGAATGTCCCGACGCTTGAGCTAGGCGATGTCAGGTTGGATGGTTGGTTATCTGCCTTCAGCCATGCCAAAAGGTCATCCCAACTTGTTGACCTATCACCTCAGAAACCTTAACGGCAACGGTCCAAGCTCCGATCTTGGCTACCCCTCGAGCTAGTGAGGACCATCCTCGGCCCTTCCCGGAGCGAGCTTCAGCGAGCTTAATCGTATCAGCCAAACTATCCCGTAATTGGAGTCTGAGGGGAATGTAGACGGCTCTCGGCCTGACTTACCGCATCGCAACATCCTTGCGGTAGAACATGCCCTCAAAATGAACACTTTCAACCCCCTTATAAGCAGCCGATACTGCTTCCTCGAGGGTTTCACCCGTCGCGGCAACGGACAGGACACGACCGCCTGCCGTGAATAATTCATCGTCGACCTGATCAGTTCCGGCGTGGAAGACATGTACACCTAAGTATGGATGTGGTCAGCGATAGACCATGGCACAATCCTACTAGTGCAGACTCACCTTCAGAGGTAGGTTCTATTCGGATAAGATCCCCTTCCCTGTATGATTCTGGATATCTCTTAGCCGCAACAGTAATATTGCAGGCAAAACCTGCAAGTGTTTTCAGCTCGATGTCACCCAGCCTGTCCTCTACACAAGCGAGAATGATTTCTGGCAAAGCCTCGTCTGGCAGGAGCAGCACCATGCTCTGCGTCTCTGGGTCGCCGAAACGCGCGTTGTACTCAAGCACTTTGGGGCCTGTGGACGTCATCATTACCCCCGTGAAGAGCATGCCGTTGAAAGGTCTTCCTATGTCTCTATGTTAGCCTTATGTGTGTTATCACTACTTTGTTCCCGACTTACTTTCTAACTCAAGGCCAACAATAGTCGGCAAGATGATCTTTTCTTCAATGTCGGCCATCTGCTCCTCAGTCACGGAAGGAACAGGCGCATACACGCCCATGCCGCCAGTATTCAGTCCCTTATCGCCGTCAAGAGCGCGCTTGTGGTCTTGGCCCGGCGGCAGAGAGAGAATCGATGTTCCATCAGTGAAGGTGAGGACGCTAATTTCGTAACCCTCGAGGTACTCCTCAATAATCACCATCTCGCCAGCATCACCGAACTTGCCCTTGAGCATGATGTCCTCGAGGGCTTGCTCCGCCTCTACGGTCGTCTCGGGAAGGATGACACCCTTTCCTGCTGCAAGACCGTCCACCTTGATGACCACTCTACGGCCCAACCTTCGTACATACGCCTTGGCCTTGTCGCAGTCAGCCCTGTCAAAGGTTTCGTAGCACGCGGTCGGAATTTTGCGTCTGCACATGAAGTCCTTTGCAAAGTCCTTGGAGCCTTCGATGATGGCCGCCCTCTTACTTGGGGCAAAGCAACGGATTCCATCTATATTGTGTTAGAAAATACTTCCTTACATGATCCAAATGGCTTACTGCTCCGAAAGTGATCTCCCATGCCTCCAACAACAGCGTCGTCTGGGCCGATGATGACAAGGTCGATTTCAAGCCTCTTTGACAGCTCCACGAGGCCACCATAGTCGTCAACGGCTATTCCGCGGCAATTCGAGACTTTCGTCAAGGTTCCGGTGCCAGCATTGCCTGGCAAAACGTAGACATGCTCTACTGATTGCGATCGAGTGAGTTTCCACGCAAGGGCATGTTCGCGACCGCCTTTTCCGATCAGGAGAATCTTCATTTTCGAGTGCTTCGTAACTGTTATGCTGACCTCGAGCTTTTGGTGACAATCTTTGCTATCAGATGATGTGGAGGCTTGCATTCGGAAAGTCATCCGACAGCAAATTTCGCAGTGTGCAGGAAAGAATGTTGCTTGATTGGTTAAGTCGGGGGCAGCAATGCGCAGGCTGAAATAAGTGGCCGTTGAGGTGGGATTTCATGAAGAGTCTTAAATTCTCGCGACCGCGACTTAATGGAACTCAAATGTCACCCGCGGAGGACCGCCACGATTAAATCTCACTTTCTCGGTCACCTTCCCCCACATCAGCTCTTCGTCAACCAAGTAGCAGCTCCCAACCAGCAGTCGGTGGTCACCCCTCTGTCGTGCAATGAAGGGCATCCGGCCCCCGAAAAGAACGACGACCTCGTCCCCAGGCTGCATCATCTTGGGCCCGATGCCCACACGGCCATCACGGGTCGCAAATACCTTTCGGTTATTCGAGTAGGTACGCGCCCCTGCTCCAAAGACCTGCAGCTTGTCCTCTCGATCCGGGTTCCCGAATTCCGTCGCCGTTGGCGGAAGACCGAACTCAGCCATCTGGGTAAGGAATGTCTCCGCCAAGTCTTGAGCCTCTCGGTCGAGCTCAGCGTGAGGTTTATGGGTACGATCGTCGAAGAGCGGGTTCAGTCCTCCCTGATTCCTAGTAAGGAGGTGACTATAGCCAATGATGGAACCCAGAGCACCAGCCAAGATGGCTTTACAGAATACCACATCCAGTAGAATGTTATCGCGATACTTTCTTCCGCATCTGGGGGCGATCGGTATGTCGAAAAGCTGCTCCCAAGCTCTCACAATAGCTTCCGCAGTAGCACGAGCCCCAAATCCAAACGCAAGTGTTTCGGTCGTTTTCGATACCACATCAACATGATACCCATCTATAGACAGAACCTTTGGCCGCACGGGATCGTTGCGGACCGGAATATCGTGAAGCTCGGCAAAATAACGGAAATGCCCATCGCAAAAGCCAGCGAGATAGGCTCCCTTGAAGACGGAGCATGTCCTTGGGTCAAACCACTTTGGGACCCAGGACGGATAGTCACCGATGCCTGGGTCCTCGTTATGTTGTACGTGGTCAAGGACGTCGAGAATCCGAGGCTGTTTGCGCAAGAGGAACCTCGTAAGATCGCAGTACACCAGCACGGTCTCCCTTTTGTAATCTGGTCGCAAAGCTCTCGGCCGACCAAAGTTGAGATCCGGAGCAAGACCATTGACGAAATTATTGACCCGTGTCAAGCCTCGACGAATTAACCGAATGCGCCAACTGTCATTGTTGTCAAAGACCTGCGTCAACGCCAGCACAGGGTTCAGCCCCTCGTCGCAGATACCGAGGAGGGAAAACACCTTGTCTCGGTCATCCGTCGCTTGCAATGTTCGCGTCAGCTCCAGAAGTGCGAGAAACGAGCCAATCGAGCCCTCGACCTCGGGCTGGCCGAGGAAACTGTTGGGTTGCCGTCGCATGAGGATCAAATTCCATAACTGGTAGGGTCGGTCGATGAGGATCTCGCTTTTCCAACCCGCGAGCACAATCAATGAGGCGATCAAGTCGAAAAACGACATTTCCAGGTCCTCAATCTTGGCAATCGCCCTTGAAGATGCCACCACCTCCTGCACACACCAGCAACGGCTGAAGTACTGGCGTTCAAAGACTTCGTCCAGGTGGATCATGCATGTCTCCGGTAGGTCTTCGAGCATGCTGCTCATCAGGCCCTGGACTGTGCCGGGGTCGATTTGCCCACCTTTAGGTCCAGTAGCCGCTGGATGAGTAAGTTCTCTGATTCTTGCGAGCCGTTCCGCGGCCTGGAACGCTTCATGTGTCCCGGAAGTCTTGAGACCGAGCCATACGATAACGCGGGCAGCGTGTTTGTAGACCAGCCTCATGTACTGGACCTGCCGAGCACGCTCGTCCAGGTCAGACTGATCGATGCAGAGCGCATCGACCCACAGCCTTCGCACCTGGTTCGGCAAGCGTAGAGAGCGCAGAGCATCTTCTAGATTTGGCCTGATAGGCATAGGGCAGCCTTGCATCCAGATGTAGTCTCTCGGCTGTTCCGTCGGTTTCCCCCACGTGTAAGACAAAGCCTCGTAGGGAGGCGCATGCTCGATGTCGACAATTTCTAGATGCGCTTCAAAGGGGTCCTCTCCCGAGCCTGGGTACAGGAAGAGGAGTCGGGTGAAGGACGGTGTGCGACCCTCTTCCGCAATCGGTGGCAGAGATTGATATCGATACGTGCTGTTCCGTTCCATTGTGCTCTTCTCTTTAGGAACGGATGATGCCTCTGGCTCTCGGATTTGAGCATCAGCTCGCAATATCCTGCCACATTGTTAGCCAAGTTGTAGATATCTTTCGAACCATGTCAAGTGTCATCACGTGCGGATTTTCGTTTCGAAAGCCTTATTACCAGAGTCGGATACAATTCGTCCGGTCCAGCAGGGGTCACGATGGAAGTTACCAATCAACTGAGGGCCAGACCTCAGCCGCTCGCGCTAGCTAGACGCATGACAGGCAGCTGTGGCTGCCAAGAAGACACGGGATGGTGTGAAGCTGTTGCTAAATATGCGGTGGCACCTCAGTAGGGTTGTCAATACAGTATGCCGTCCTTTCATGGCCGCGTGAATGCTGGAAAGTCTATCAGAACGGCCCTTTTGTTGGGCGTAACGTGCCACCAAACTCCTAGCTCTGTGAGAGCCTTCTCCGCATCCGACTTTTGGGTATCATTACAGCAAAAAAAACAGTTGCAGTGTCATATGCAGTCCATAACACGCAAACGCCCTCGCCCTTTGAGTGACATGTCCAGCTAAAGTGGCCGAGGCTGTGGCTCACTCGAGTGTCGAAGTCGTGGGTTAAGAAGCAAGTTCCACTGGCTCATCGAATCTCTGGTTCCTTCATGAAATCCGGAACAGATAGGCCAGCTTCGAGAACGGAGAGATCCCAGGGGTCTGCAGGTTCCTCGTCTGGTTCCTCACTCACAGCTCGCTTTAGATGTTGTCAGTCACATACTTGTCGCATGTTCAAGGAGATCAACTTACGCGGTTTGATATGTCCGCGTCGATGCTGGGGGTATCCGTATCCGCAGCGTAGATCTTGATAGAACGAAGGTGCGTATCCTTGCCGTTCTGATGATTCTCAAGTATCTGCATTTGGAACACGTAGGAAACCAGCGTGTTACCGTCGGGGCCGCCGCCAGCGCCGTCGACTGGAACGATCTGCCAGCCAGAGGGTGTCGAGAGCTCCATTGTGGCAAATTGAATGAGATTGTTCTCGCTGGTACCCGACTTGAAGATGATCTTGGTTGGTGTGTAAGATTCATCTTCATTGTAGTCTACGTAGAAGCGAATGTCCCTGATGCCGACTCGCTTGATGAAGTAGACTGTAAGCTTGTGCGGCTGAGGACCATCGGATCTGTCTTATCGTCAGCAAAGGTGTGCATTTATTCTCGGAATGGGTCGTCGGATAAACGCACTGCCAATAGGTTTTCAAGCTGTCGTCACGAAGCTGGTCGACGCCGTTCCCCTGCTTGTGGCTGCTGACGGTGAATTTCCCCAGATTTGAAATCTCCTTCAGACCGACAGCGAGGGGGTCGAACTCGGGCTCATCTTGTTGGTCCCCGACTTGGTCGCCGTTTTCTCCATCTTCAACACTAGTGTCGGTGCCAGAGATCTCGCCAAGGTCATCGAGTGGCATGCTGATGCCCTCCTCGTCGGAATACTCCGGGATGGGCTGGCTTCGTAGATACTCCTCCATGTTGGCGCCAGCTCTCATGGCCTCCCAGTCGACGCGTTGCGGTGGGAATGCCTCGCCGTCATCAGAGTCGTCTTCGTCTCGACGTGAGCCGCCTAAGGGGCGCATGAGTCAGCAGTGTTGTGATGTCAAGCTAGAAGTGAAACGGTCGAGGTCTATGGCTGGTTTGCTACTTGTCAACCGTCCGATGTTGATGGCCGGGGCCAGAACATGGACCAGGCGGGTGTCATGCGACCCCCTGGTCCCATCTCCCGCACTGGGCGTCTAATCGACTTCGAAAGACATAGAAGACTAATTTTTCCCGTATTTCATCAATGTCTTTGTGCAAGAAGTGCAAATCAAGGAGAAAACTGAAAGCTAGACAAGGTTTGTGCAAAAAGCTGCAATGAAGAGCTATGGATTCTCATCGAACAGTAGTCGAAATGATGCCCCTCCACGTAGAGACCGACCCCCCTGTCGGACGCATGCAACTCGAGGCGACATCAAACAAATGACCATCACCTCTTAACTTGCAGGGCTGAGTGGTCAAATATTACAAGAGCGATGCCCCTCGCTTCGGCTTTGAGTGCATTGACGCGCTGGTGGTATTGTACGATGGACAGCAGCCAGAAGGGCGAAAAGCAGCGGGCGATGTTCAGGGAGATGACCACCTGAAATTGGGAGTCGGGCATCTATGACAGGATGAAAAGAGCGACCTACCATTGGGACCAAGAGCTCGTGTCGCTCGGCGGTCGTAATAATCGCCCGACCACTGGCTTCCATGTTCAGCATCGAGGTCGAACCCGTTCTGGGTGAGCTGCTCGGGGCTTCGCAGGTCAGGCCGTGGACGGTCGCCATGGATGTTGCCCCGCTGTCGATCGTCCATTTCCATTCACCAGCTCAGGAGCAACATTGATGTATGAGATTGGCGGCCACAGCGCTTTCGTGAGTTAAATGCGTGGTGATGATGCTGCTGCTGCGTTCACGGTCGAGAATCACGTGGATCCACCGAGATCTGTCACGTGTTCGCTTGTCGGTGTAACTTCCTTCACCGGCTCACCGGCTCACCATCTTCACAAACGGTTGATTGGCGATTGGCTCGACAGAAATAGTATACATGGACATGGAAAATGATCCGTGATTTCTCTGAGAGTATTTTTTTCTCTCAAGGTTCCATTGTGGCTTGAAACACATGCAGAATATGTTTGTTGGTGGTCAGAAACCTAGAGCTATCTGGCGACTCTATCCCTGATTACAACATACTTGCCAAAGACAACTGTCTAAGTAGTTTCGTGAGGGGTTTCCAAGTCAGAAATGTAGTTCTTTTATGGGAAAGTCCCAAGCGATTGGTTGTGGTTGTCTCAGTCCTGGATCTTGCATTTCAGCTGAACACCTCGTTTGCTTTTTGCATGGCCTAGACTCAACGTTACCCCGACTCCGTGTAAGCAATCTACTTGACAACCTCCTCGAGCAGTAAACCCTCCTTCCACATTGGAACTAAAGTATTGAAGAGACTAATGCATCGAAAAGCCTCAGTGTGTCTTCATCATGTTGTCCTATGTAAGCGCCCGTCGAACGACCTAGTCAGCTATTCTCGTCCCTCTCGGATTTGTCGCCCAATTGACTAGCTACGGACTACACCAACCAATGGTGAGGTTGTCGTCTCACTTGAGAAACATAGATGGAAGTCTGCACTGGCCCAGACTTCTGCGATGTAGCCATATGGTCATGAATGCTGCAGTGGCAAGGCGCATGTTCCAAAAGACGACCGGTGAGGAGGGGATCGTCTAACGCGGTGTTCCTAGTAAGCTAAGGGAACTTTTACGTCCGAGGCTTGCGTTCAAGACCCCGATTAGTCCTCGCAGACAAGAAGTTCAGATATCGCAGTGGCTAATTATAATATCTCACATCGAGTTGCCAGTCTTGACTCTGGGGTATAAAAGGCCAGAAGCATCCTGTCAGGAGGTATATGTAGAATCCGAAGCAAGCAGCACAAGTTCAATCTCATCTTCTCATCGTTTTTACATCTCGAGCCCTGAATAACAGCAAATATGAAGACTTCGGCCCTCATCTCAGCTTTGTTCGCTTCCAGTGCTCTGGCAGCCATCGGAAGCTACTGTCATGACAGCAAGGTCTATTTCATCCTCAAGAACACGTCGACGGCATCCACTAACGCCTATTCTGTATGTACAGGGAAACTACGGAACCTGCCAGAAGACCTCCAAGTGCAGCTCTCTCAATGGCTACACCAAGACCAACCTCTGCCCCAATGACCCGGCCGATGTGAAGTGTTGCTTCTACCCGGACTGCAACAGCAATGGATACTGCCAGAAGGATACTCTTTCCTGCAGCGGCACATACTCTACGTAAGATTCATAATCTTACTCTTCATCTAACCAATATCAAAATGTATAGCTAATTTTTCACAATGCAGTGGCGACTGCCCTGGTCCCTCTGGCTACCGTGTAAGTATGCATCTTCCTATCACTCGAATTGATGCTGAGTTTAAACAGTGCTGCAACGTCAGAAAGCCACCCATCTGCAGCAGAGGCGACAGGACCAAGCGCTGCATTCCCCTTTGAGTGTGAGTTGGATTGGACTGGACCGCGTATGTACTTTAGTTGAATTGAATCGCATACGTGCTTTACCGTGGAAGGTGACCTGCTTGACCACGAGTGATTTGTGCTTGCCGCCTACGCTAGATATCTTCATCGTCACTTATCATTTCAGAAATATCGCCACGTAGAAAGCAAAGTATAGGTAGTTGGAGCATTGGATGGATGGCAGATCACATTCGACAGCGAGGGAGCAGTAGTCAAACTCAACAAGCAATTACATTGCACTTTTCCTGCCAGTAGTAAAAGAGAAACTATGCCCATCCAATGATCAGACCATGAAAACCCCCCAGGTCCATCCCAAAACGCCGGCCAGAGAGATCGAGGTATCATACAGCGCATTGAACACAATATGTTTATGCACATGAGGCCCAAGTGCCGTCTATGAATAAGAAATGCGACGCCGCTTAGCTTCCTAAGCAAGGGAGCTGCGCTTCTTCTTCAACTTCTTCTCCTTCTTGGGCGTCTCATCATCTTCGTGCTTGCGCTTCTTCTTGGTGCTGTCGGTAGCCTTGACGGGCGTCTCTTCGGCCTCGTCCTCGGCCTTCTTGAGCTTCTTCAACTCCTTCTTGCTGAAGACGACGGGCGTGCCGTCCTCGCCGAGCTGAACGTCACCACGCTCGAACTTGCGCTTGAACTTGGACACGCTGATGCCAGCAGCCTCAGCGAAGCGCTCGTAGTCCTTTTCGCTCAGCTTCGCCGGTGTGCCCTTGACAGCCTTGCTCTCCTTGACGGGAGTCTCGACCGCGGCGATGGAGACGCGCTTCTTCTCCTTCTTTTCCTTCTTCTTGTCCTTTTTGCTCTTCTTCTCTTCTTCGCTAGCGTCGTTCATCTCGGCGTCCTCGTCTTCGCTCTCGGCGTCCTTCATCTCCTCATCGACGACCTGGATGAGCTTCTTGGACTTGCCGTTGACCTCGGTCTCGACACCGTCGGCATCGGCGTTGTACTTGCGGGACTCCTTCAGGCTGAAGCCACCGGGAGCGGTGAGCTGGCCGTCAGGGCCAACACCAACACCCTTGGGGAGGAGAGGCTTGCCCTCCAGCTTGCGGAGGAGGTTCTCAAGCTTGATGCGGCTGGTAAGGCCGAGGATGCTGCGCTCCTCCTCATCGTCCTGGTTCTCGGTGTCGCCGAGAGCGTCAACACGCAGACCAAGGGCAGTCTTGGCGGCGAGGGAACGGGCGATCTTGCCCTTGTTCTTGCCAGTGGCCTGGCCAACGAGGGAGGAGTGGTAGATGATACCGTACTTGGGAGTGTCGTGCTTGGTCTTGAGAGCACGGAAAAGCGCCTTCTCAGCACCGTAGATCTGGATGGTGGAGGAGGGGGCCTTGGCAAGGGCAATGAGGGAGCCAGCGTGGGCGATCAAGCGGGCACCGACGAGGTAGCCAACGAGAGCAGTCAAGTTGGGGGCGAGAGCGCGCATGCGGGTCTCGAGGTAGGTGGAGAGGGAAGTGCGGTACTCGGAGTAGGTGATGACCTGCTGGGCCAACAGTTGGATGTTCTCCAAATCTTCAGGGGTCATCTCAGTTCCCATGGAAATCTCGGCAGCAGTCTTGACAGGGCCCTCAAGCTCCTCGGGAAGGATATCGGAGAGATCGGTCTCGGCGAAGTCCTGGCGCATGCCAACGGCAACAACAAGACGGGCGTAGACCAGGTTGTCGTTGAGGATCTTGGCAAGCTCGGGGAAGTGCCAGCCGTACCATTCCTTGGTGCGCATGGCGTAGACGTTCAGCTCCTTGTCGAGATCGTCGACCAATTTGATAGCCTGGACAACCATGGCGTCGACCTTGTCGGCGGAAAACTTAAGCTTGTGTCGCGAAATGGAGTGCGACAGACCAAGGGCCATGCGGTCCATAGTCTCGGTGCTGAGACCGGGAATGAGGGAAGAAAGGTTCTCGCGAACAGCGCGGAACAGGTCCTGGGAGGCAGCATCGGAGACGGCCTTGATATCCAAGTCGGGAAGCTTGCCAATGGCAGTACCGAGCTTCAGGTCGGCAACGGCAAGGGTGGCCTTCTTCTCGTCCTTGATCTCCTTGAGCAGGTTGGCGAGCATTGGCGGGACACGACCCTCCTTGAGACCGGCGGCTTCCTCGACGGCGACGGCGGAGCTATCGAACTTGACGAATGACTTCAACTTAAGCCTTTGCAATAGTCAGCCTCGATTGTACTCAAACGCAGCGATCTAATCAAAGCCGAGAAAACAGGTTTGCTTGCACGCGTGTGCGCTGCTGCGTGACACTCTTGAAGACTGGCTGCAATTGTCGATTGTGGGAGCGCGACTTACATCTGGTTGATCTGCTCCGAAGAGGTCGGTCCAGTGGTGAGCTCATCGCGCTTGAGAAGCTTCTTGTCGGCAGCCTTGAACAGACCGTAGCTATTTCTCGTGTTAGCTTTTCAATTGCTGCCACTATTTTTTTCCCTTCTGGTTCTTTTCCAAATAGAAACTTACCCTGCCGGCGTTTCGGCGAGAACGAAGAGAGACATTGTGAGAACCGTCGATGCTCTTCAAATCTGGCCAAGTTGGTCCCTCGGGTGAAATCCTCCGCACGTGGGTGTAAATGTTATTGTCGGCGGAGGCAGGTTTCCAGCGAGCGGATTGATGGTTTGGAAATATTTTTTCTGAACCAAACCAAGCTCCACCAATTTTTTTTCGATGGCTGCAGAGCCTTTGGGCGGGTCCCACCCCACACACCAATTGGCAAGTGGGATGGCCCGGAGCGCGTAAATTCTATTTCGCCGAGAGAAGCCGCCTCCGGTGGCCTGTGCGCTGCTACAACTCGTAATGCCTTAGGTAAGGGAAGGTGGACTTGGTCGGCCTTGCTGGGACCTTGCAGCTGCCGTGCAGTAATTTGGTTTGGCAGTGAGTGAGAGCGAGCGTTCTAAAGTCAACGACCACAGCTGTCTCCGTTTGCGCCTCCACCAGACCGGCGTCACCACCTCCAGTCGCCTTCGAACCAAACAAACCACAACACAGCCAAGATGGAGGGCCTATTCTTCAACGTCAACAGTGGGTGAGTATTGGGTTTATGATGGATGATAGGGCTCATGGGCTGTGGCTAACATGGTGCAGTTACATTGAGGGTATCGTCCGTGGATACAGGAACGGCCTTCTTACCGGCTCCAACTATGCCAACCTGACGCAGTGCGAGACCATCGATGGTGAGTGTTTCTATATGCCCCTGTGCGATGCACATCTAATACGGACCCAGATCTCAAGTTGCAACTCGGCCCTGCGTACGGCGACTTCCTCGGCAACCTCCCTCCCAACCCCTCGACGTCAGCTCTCGCCGCGAAGACGACCGACAAACTTGTCTCCGAGTTCCGCTATGTCCGCGCCAACGCTGTCGGCTCTCTTGCACAGTTCATGGACTACCTCACCTACGGTTACATGATCGACAACGTTGCTCTGTTGATCACCGGCACCCTTCACGAACGAGACACCCGCGAGCTTCTCGAGAGATGCCATCCCCTCGGCTGGTTTGAGACGATGCCAGTCCTGTGCGTTGCGACGAATATCGAGGAGCTTTACAACAGTGTTTTGATCGAGACCCCGCTTGCCGCCTACTTCAAGGGCAGTCTTAGCCACCAGGATCTCGACGAGCTCAATATCGAGATTGTCCGAAACACGCTGTACAAGAACTACTTGGAGGACTTCCACAACTTTGTCAACACTCATCCTGATATGGCAGGCTCGCCGACAGCTGAGGTCATGTCGGAGATCCTGGAGTTTGAGGCCGACCGCCGGGCGATCAATATTACGCTTAACTCCTTCGGCACCGAGCTCAACAAGAATGACCGCAAAAAGTTGTACCCCAGCTTTGGTAAGCTGTACCCGGAGGGAACCCTCATGCTCTCTAGAGCGGAAGACTTTGAGGGCGTTCGTCTTGCGGTTGACGGTGTCGGTGACTACAAGAGCTTCTTCGAGGCAGCTGGTCTCGGCGGCGGCCCGTCTGGCCCGGGTAACCAGGGCGGTGGCTCAAGCTCCGACGGCAAGAGCCTGGAGGATATGTTTTACCAAAAGGAGATGGAGATCTCCAAGAGCGCATTCACTCAGCAGTTTACTTTCGCTATTGTGTACGCGTGGGTGAGACTTCGTGAGCAGGTAATAACCACCAGACCCCTGAACGTGAGCTGGGCGAAGCTAATGACAAGCAGGAAATTCGTAACATCACCTGGATTGCAGAGTGCATAGCCCAGAACCAGAAAGACCGGATCGGCAACTACATCAGCGTGTTCTGAGTTTAATGTTTGGCAGTCCTGTTCTGTTAGTTTGTAGAATACCAGTTTCATCGTTTAATGGCAGGTCACAATGGCGCAAGGAGGTAGGTCAAGTTCATGACGTGGAGATCAGCATCTTTACCGATCGCTATAGTGTACATAGAGGACAATTACAAGTCTGAGTTTTACACGTGCCTACCCTTTCCCGCTTCTAGCCCACCCTAGAAGCTGATCTGCTCCTTGTAGGTCGCTGGTGACAGACCCAGCTTCTCGAGCAGATGCGTCCACCGCCCGCTTCCCCTCTCACTGCGCTCCATGTACTTGAGGAGCTTTTGCCGCCTGTGGCACAGGACCCTCAAGTTCCTCTTGTTGTGCTTGTCCTTGTAACCACGGTTCTGTGACAGCTCGTGCGAGAGCTTCCTGATCTTGGCGGTCAGAATGGCAACCTGCACCTCCGAGCTGCCAGTGTCGGGGCCGCCCCGAATTGGCGGCTTGGGGGCCTTGGGATCCACGAGAGCAGACTTGGGCTTCTTCGTCAGAAACTTGTCGGTGTTGTGTCGGCCAAACTCCTCGACACATCTCTTGATGTTGGTGTGGAGAAGGATCTTCGAGTTGGCATTGTCCATAGACAGAATACGCTTCAGAGCCTCTACTGCCTTGGCGTGAACCAGCTCATGCTTCTGGTCCGCCAATGCCTCCATAGCAGGGTCTGCCAGCTCCCTGATTTCCGACTTAACAGGTTTCGTCAAAATGTAGGCCTTGTCTATCACTGCTTGGAGCTCCTTCTCGTCGACGAGGTGGTTCAGAAGCCCCGGCGAAGTTGGCAGAGGGCGAGGATCGGAGATGATGTTTCCATTGTCGTCCTTGACGGGCTTCGTTGTGGGCGCTTGGCCGGCCGAGTCGAACGACTCCACGAAAGGAGTCGGAATGCCGTGGATCTGGTCGCCCCAGCTCGCATCCTTTTCCGCCTGGATCTCGCTCTGTCTCTTCTGGTTGGCAGCCTTGCGTTGTAGCGCCTGTTGGTGTTTATACGGGTCCTGCTTCGCTTTGCGCTTCTTCTCGCGCTGGGAAAGATTCGCGGTCTGGATGACGGGGAGGAAGCTCGGGGTCGGTCTAATAGCTGGGCGTAGGCACACTATCACAGTCAATTAGCTTTTTAATTGCTTCTTGTATCCCCTAGAATAAGCCTGAAGCTTACAGCTAGCGGTGCCTAGCCGTTGCAGGCTCTGTAATCTGGGAGGCATGGCGACAGCAGTTTCCCTTCAACGCGCGATCATCGACAATGGGAACCATAAAATTTCCTAGACTCTGGTCCCATATCTGGAGAGCAGCACTCCAATGGCGTCCGGCCCGTTCGTCCTCCGCTGCACATCCCCTGGGAGTGGAGGCGCTTCCCAGAGAGTACTAGCGGCTTTCTTAGGCATCACGTGATCCCGAAGTCTCGTTAGGTACGTACTCTGGCGGGACTTGGAGACGCTTGGACCACAAGGGCCTAGCGAGGGCTTTGCTAGAGGCAGGAGCTGCCCACTCACCCACGAATTCGAGACGCACAACTGGGCGAACTTTTTTCGAGGATCGCGAAATCTTGACTTTCTTCCCTTTCCGCACCACCACCGTTCGACACCGTCTCCCCGTGGAAGAAAGACCGAAATCGCCCAAGATGGCTCCCGCTAACCTCCCCTCGATCTTCAATGCCACTTCCCAGGACATTGAGATGCTGCTTGCAGCTCAAGCCCACCTGGGAAGCAAGAACCTCCAGGTTCACATGGAGCCCTACCTGTGGAAGACCCGTGCCGACGGTGTCAACGTGATCAACGTTGGCAAGACCTGGTAAGCAAAGAAAGCGATGCGTTGGAGAGTTTTTCCTCTTGGGGAATTTCGAGAACAAGAAATCACCAAGGAAACCTCTGTCGCGCTCCTCAATTTGCGCCAGCGCAAAAATCGCTGACTTTTTGCGCCTCCAGGGAGAAGATTGTCCTCGCCGCCCGCATCATCGCCGCCGTCGACAACCCAGCTGACATTTGCGTCATCTCTGCCCGTCCCTACGGTCAGCGTGCCGTCCTCAAGTTCGCCGCCCACACCGGCGCCGTCGCCATTGCCGGTCGCTTCACCCCCGGTTCCTTCACCAACTACATCACCCGCTCTTTCAAGGAGCCCCGCCTCATCATCGTCACCGACCCCCGTACCGATGCCCAGGCCATTAAGGAGGCTTCCTACGTCAACATCCCCGTCATCGCCCTCTGCGACACCGACTCCCCCACCGAGTACGTCGACGTTGCCATCCCCACCAACAACAAGGGTCGTCACTCCATCGGTCTCGTCTGGTGGATGCTCGCCCGTGAGGTCCTCCGCCTCCGCGGCACCATCTACAACCGCGAGACCCCCTGGGACACCATGGTCGATCTGTACTTCTGTATGTGGAATCCCCTCCCTATAAGCATGCTCTGCACGGGAGATGTGGAACAAGTGAGAACTAACACATCAAATAGACCGCGACCCCGAGGCTGAGGCCGAGGAGAAGGTCGAGGAGGAGAAGCTCCCCGGCGTTGAGGAGGAGGGCGTTGCCGCCATTGAGTCCGGCTTCCCCGCCACCGGCGACTGGGACGCCCAGGCTCCCGGCTTCACCGGTGCTCAGGCTGGTGCCAACTGGGACGGTGCTGGTGATGAGTGGGCTGCCGCTGGCGCCGCTCCCACCGGTGACTGGGCCGCTGCCGGCGACGCTGCCGCTGCTGCCCCCAAGGAGTCTTCCTGGTAAACTCCCTTTTGTCATTCAGTTGTCGGCATGACATACAAAACGAGAGGATTCCCCCAAACACATCAACCTACAAACGCACCGGTCATCGAAGCACGGTGTGCGAAAGATATCCACAAAACGGCGGAACAGCAAATGGTCATGGAATGGTAGATAAAAGACTCTGGCGGAGTTTTTTTCTTTTATGATCGCTGGTAGCAATCTTGGGGGCAAAAAAGGAAAGGGTCAACTTGGTCTGCACTAATGAGGGAAAGATACTCGAACCAAAAAAACATTGTGAAATAGTCGGCAAACCACCAATTGTTTGTGATGTCGTTTTGGGGAGAGGGAAAGCCCTGTGTGGCCAAAAGGGGTGGACTTAATCGTTATCCCGCTCTTCTTTTGCTTGCTTTCCGTTGAAAGCTTCTGGTCGAAAAAATCATGAAATGTTTGAGGACTTGAAATACCACAACCCCGTTGGTCCCTCAACCTTTGATTCACCTTGCGTCTTCGTGACTTGGCCTTGCTCCTTGCCGCCCCTATCTTCCTAACCCAGTGACATGCCTTATTTATTCTTTTAAGGGATCGTTGTCTTCCAAGTGCCTTCCGCTCCTGCTGTCCTCCGCCATACCTGTCCGAAGCATGGATTGCCATAGCCGTCCAACTTCTTCAATGTTGCGGTCAATCAGCCATAGAAGCGAGATCCTGGTACAACCAGATCCTCTGATCATACTCGATCCAGCCGCCGCATAATCAAGGTTGCGTTCAGCTCTTTTATTCATCGTTCCTCCACCAGCAAAGTGGGATCATTGACAGAAGCCAATCTCAGACAAAAACGAGGAGAGAAAGTTACCCAATGACGCGACACTGGTCAGCTGTCAGTAATTTACCTGCCTTTGTCTCTTCTTTACTGAAAGGGTCCAAACTAGAAGTGAGAAAGAGAAGGTGAGCAACACAAATTTGGCTGGTACTGAACAGCCGGCTCAAAAAAAGCCGGTGAAGTGCGAGGACTTCGTTACACATTGATCCATCAATGTATACCATTCGAGCAGTGAAACCCTTGAGTCAGTTGGGAAATCTGAAAAATCACTTTCCCATAAGTGACCGATTCATCTGCTATGCAGAAGCCAGAGAACGGAGAAGAGTTTCGCACCGGATTCTCGCATTCTTACCTTGGATATGAAATTTAAGAACTCTGGCAAAGACTACCGTCTGTATTACTCGGTGTTGTTCAACTTTTACACTTATCAATCCCTAATCTAACTTACCTGGATATCTCCCAATTAAGATTAGAAGATTCACATTCGTCTCGGTCAAGACGTCAGTCCAAACTTTGCTACACCACCCTTCTGGAGCACTCAGAACGTGGAATGGTACTCAAGGTACCGCAGCCGATCCGCTAGGACGTGAAAGAAGACACGACTTAGGAGTTATAATATGCGCTATACCCTATTATACCTTATCAAACCTATCCACTAACTACTTGGACCGAAATCAAATGGATGAGCTCGCTCAATGATTGTCCACTTCTTGAAAAGCCTGATTGGGATTATCGAGGGACAGATACCAGCAAACACACACCAAGTGAGCCACGAGAAGGGCAGCGGCCACTATCTCTCTCAAAACTGATTTCAGTTGTCAAGATTAAAACAAGCGCATAGTGGCGGGTGGCCGTCCTACTGCCCTCCCTCATCACCGGAGGTACATGACATACCGGCAGCAAGTCGCGGATCCGGCCCACTTTCTGTTGGGTAAGGTTTCTAGAAGTGTTGTGTCGGTTAGCTTAGCCCTTTCGAAGCCAGCAAGGTGTTGCTCAAGGTACTTCACACCGAAGTTTCTGTTCTCACGTACGCATGCATAGACATCATATCAGAGTCAAAGATGGGTGCACAAGGTTTTGAAGAATCTGAATATGTTTGTTTAATCGACTCGCCTCCTTGAGTCAAAGTCCAACATGCAAAAGGGGTATTGAACGTTGCCCGAGAAAATCTCGAGCCGGGGACACCCAAAATGTCCTTTCCCTTCCGTTTAAAAAGATCCCCTTGGTCCTCCCCCTCAACTCCTTGTCCTAGTTGATATGGTCGCTCGCTCGCTTAAATGACGCAAAGTAAGGGGTATAGACCATCGCTATCTATGTGCAATGCTCGGCCATCCCTGGCCTGTTCTTTCTTCCTCCCCCCTCCCCTCCAATTGCTGAGCCTTAATCAAGGTTCCGGTGATGTCATATTGTAAGTATCAGTACAGGGTATATGGCCACTGCTTTGAAACCAAAGCAGGGCGACGTGAAAAATGACGATGCCCAAAATGAGCATCGAATTAGTGATGTAGTCGGGATACGCGTTCGTCACGTATGATGATGTGAGAGAAAGGAGACTTGGGCGTGAGCGAAGGTCGCGTGCAGGGCGCACGTATGATGCAGGGGTGTTTTCTGAGGGTCCAAACCCGAAGCGGTCGTACTGGCGTTCGTGAGGTTTATTTGTTTGTAATTACGCGTTATGAAGGATGCCAGTAGCTGGCTTACTCCAGACGATGAGAGTGCTTGCGAATCTCTTCATCGCTTAGAGCACTCATCCAGAGACACCTCTCGGTGATACCCTCAACCGGTTGGAATTCGTAGAGTGTGCTGGCCTCGAGCAGCCTCAACAGTGTCTTGACAATGGTCGCGGCGTACCTACACCTCTCAAAGTTGACCAGCGGTGCAGTGGTTGGGGAGCTAGCAATCTCCGAGGGTCTTTGAGCATTGAAGAGAAGGTCGTGGGTGTAGATGCCTACGAATGGAATGCAGCCTGTGTCAGAGCCAACTTCCATCTCGGCACGCAAGTTGTAGAAGTTGCGGGTAGGGGAGATGAGAGTTTCCAACTCCCGCAGAGTCTGCATATCGTAAGGTGGTACCATGGCCCAGGTGTTTGTAAGCCGAGATATTTCCATCGAAGTCAGGGCGATGGCGATCTGACTCATGGTCGCAAAGTTGCGGTATCGGCGGCAGTGAGCAGCAATGTGGATATACTTGATGATGCATCGTGCTCTTTCCTCAATATTTTGAGTCAGCACGATCTCGCTGCATGCCCACTTCACCATGATGTTGAAGCGCGCAATGACAACCTCAACGCCATGAGCATCCGTGTTGCGAAGGAAATCAACCCAGGACCGAGAGTCGTTGTTGGTAGCATTCTTCCAACCCATGTCGATGAGTTCCCTCCAGTCAATCTCATTGAGAGCATCCTTTTCGATCAGCGTGAACTGTTGAGCTAGAATCTCCGAGTCGAACGCAAGCGTGAACGGTAAGTGAACAGAGAATCTTAAGGACGATTCTCTTTCGCGTTCAGAGTACTTTGGCTGCCCGCGCAGTGCTTCTCTGGTGCCGGTAGGGTCAAGTGGCGAGTTGGGCTGGTTCGCCCCCGGAGTGGTGTCGGGAGTCGGCGGTAGGGGCTTTTGCTGATACACCTGATGTTCGTGAAGCTCGGGAACCAGAACGGCCTCAGGTGACATCTGGAGAGCTTGGACAAGCGTCATTGGTGGCGACGGAGGTTCTCGGCTGTCTGAAGGACCCATGGTCGACTCTCTCAAGGGTCGAGGATCGAACTCCAGAATGGATGCACTGCGGTGAGCATTGCGGTCCGGAAGAGGTTGTGTTTGGTTCATGGCAAACTCTTCGGGCTCGACAATCTCGGCTGACAGCTCGGACGAAAGGTCAGAACCAAAGTCTTCGCCATCACTGTCGTCGTCTAAAAATGACTGCTCGCTCGGCGGGGAATAGCCCGACTTGATCTTTTCCAGGCTTTCCGTCTTCCGGATGAACTCGTACGAAGATGTGTGAGATGATCCCTCGAACATTGGGCGAGGAGTCACTGCTGGTGAAATTTCTTCCTCGGGGTCTTGAAGAACAGACATGTTGGTCCATTCCCGCGCGGATGCCTTACTCTGGCCATCGTCTGCCAAACCTCTTTCAAGAAGAGGAATGGAGCAATACGAGCCTGCCGAGTTATCTGATAGGAAAGAACTCGCATCGGTTCGAGGTCCGTTGGGAACGTCGAGAAAGCTGGAGCGGGGCTCTGACCCCTCTTCTTGTTGGGCTACGGCGGCGGCGTCCACAGGAAGAACGTGCAAGTGACGATGCCCTCTCTTTTCTTGCTTTTGCGCCTCAGCGGGTTCACCTTCAAGATCCGTTGCAGTATCGACACCTTGGAGAGGAGCATTTGTGGGCTCCATGGACAATTTGAAAGATTTCTTCTCATACTTGCCTTCCAACTTGGCCAATGCTGATTCTACACCACCATCATCTTCATCGTCGGGAATTTGGGCGAGCTTCTGCGCCTCAGCTTCAAATGAAGGACGCATGATGGGCTTGGACGAGTGGGTGCTGAAGAGCGAGAGTTGTCTTTTTGCCGATGGCTCGGCCATTGCGCCCAGGGAAAAATTATCGGCATCGCCTCGGTGGGAGAACTCGCTCGACACGACGTCAACGAACGCACTAGAATCATGCTTGGGGCTCTGCAAATAGGAGCTTCGCATGGATTCTGAATAGGTTGTGAGGGAGCCTGCCGACCGTGACTTACGCAAGGGCAAGGCATCTCCGTCGCCCCCGTTGTTGAATGCGCGCAGGTTTCCACCTGGTCGTCTTCTCAGAATCCGGAGCGGCTGAGGTACGGGGCTCGGCTCATCCTCGTCAGCGACGGAGCCTTCAGTGTACGTGGTCGCGTCGAAGCTCTTGACTGTTGAGCGCGGGTTGAAGGTACTTCCAAACGAGGTAGTGCGCCGGTGGACGATGGCTGAGTCGAGGGATCTATTTGTCCTGCTTGACTTTTGCCGAATGTGCTTTTTCGTTGACCTTGACAAAGTAGGACGGCTGGAAGAAGGCCCGATGAACTCCGACAAAGGACGATCGATATCCATGGACGGGCGAGTGCTTTGGTCATTGCCCAGAGTTGTCAAGTCAGGCACAAAGGGAGGCAGTGGGTCTACCGAGATGGACGGTCTGACGACATGTTGGTTAAGCAAGTAGGACGACCGTCGAGGTGTGCCCA